CAAAAGCTCGCTCTCCAGAGGTATTCTGATACCTAGCTGTTGTTCCAAACTGAAAATGTTTGATCCAATCAGTTGCTTGAACGTCTGAACTGCTCTCTCTCTGCTAAGCCGTTCTGCTGTGACCGGCCTGGTGCCGTCGGAAAACTAGATAGGCCTGTTACCGGGCTCCCTTCTGCCTTGACGGCATTTCGAAACAGCGACTGAAGTGCAGCTTCTGAGTCGCTGACCAGTTCCATTTGCTTCCCAGTCAAACCTGCCTCTTTCAGAAGCCTATTCAACTGACGGATGTTTGCATCATAGTTCGTGGGATGCATTTGCATGGACAGGATCATACCAGTTTGAACGACCAGCAAAACTAGCCACTTGACTTGACCTAAGAAGCAAAATTCTGAAGCAACTGCGTTCCGGTTTCGTCTCGATTTCAGTCGACGTGCGGGCAAACGACCTGCTGACGTCACGCATGCTTGACATGAGGAGAGGTACGGGGTGTGACCTCTCGACAAATAGTGAAAAAGATCAACTTCATTCAAATCTGGTTCCTGTTCATCTTCGACTGGTTCTAGGCCTGGTCCCTCTTCACTGTCCTGTCTCTCATCTTCTTCTAGAAGCTCTTGCCCTTCCTCAAAACGTGGTAGTGGCATGTCCTCATCGTCCCCTATCCAAAAATGTTCTGTTTCAACATCTCCTATGTAGTAGTACTCAATAGGATAGGTTTCCTCACACTCGCAATACTCCTCTTCACCTGATGCCTCTAGTTCTTGTTCCTTCCAACCTGATGCTTCTAATAGGGAGTGACAAGTTGTCTCAACCATCTCGTCCGTGAGTCCACGGACTAAGAAATTTAGCCTCCCCACGTAACGTGCTTCTTGGGGCACTCGCTCTCTCCCGTTGGCCGACACGAAGGCGGATCCGATCGACGTCCGAGCACTTGACTGCGGTTCAACCTCCTCGCCTCCTATGCCTTTCTTCTTAAACAAAACGACAGGTGACGCAGCTTCCCTTGACTCGTGCTGACCTTGCTGACCTATTACGCCTTTCGTTAGACAGCCAACTGATGCACATGCCCTTGACTCATGTTCACCTTTCTCACCTGATACGCCTTCTCTAGATAGATTCACAGTTGCAAGCACTTGACTGGGGCCTTCTGGAGTCCTTGGGGCCTTCGAGACTTCTACGGAGGCCTTTACTGGTTCTTTCCTCGTCTTGAGGATTGGCTTCAAAACACTCTGAGGATCCGGACATCCAGTAGGCCGTGTGGGAGACACAGCGATTGTGTCTACTTCCATGTGTGTTGGTGCATCCTGTCTAGCTTTCTGTCGGTTCTGTTGCTTCCTATTGTTTCCTCCTTCAAACGCAACACACCACCAAGAACGATCATCCAGATTCAACGACACGTGCAGGTCTCTCAGCTTGAGGCACGACGAACCCTTCTCGAACGACAACCGAGTTTCCCATCCGGCGTGCGACAAAGCATAAGGTGACAGAACGTTCAATGGCAACTGGGCAACAACACATCGGGTAAGCCTGAACTTCTTCAAACTTTCCTTGCGACCTTGGAAGCAGTTGAAAAAGATCTCAACGTCAACGACTCCCGAGGTACGAATCGGCTCACCGTTCGCGGCTTTCAACTCACATGTGACCCTGTGTTCACAAACAACATGGTACAAGTGAAGCTGCTCTGCTGAGATAATGTGACATGTTGCACCCGAATCCACCAGCCATGATCCTAAAGCTTTCTTGGTTGTGCGAAAACACTGTTCGTGAGACATGGCATGTTCTGCCGATAGAACTGTCTGACTGGAAGGAATGCATTCTAGCGTTCCTTCTGACAAGTTCTTAAAACTTGCCCTCAAACTCATCACAATGGCATCTTCCTCTGTGGTGTCTCGCTCTGGCTCCGACATGCTAGCTTCCAACGTGCGGTCCATTCGGACACGACAGTTGGAACGGGTGTGGCCTTTCTTTCCACATCTAAAACACACAATCTCTGACTTCCCCTTTGGGGACTGACTGCGCTGTTTCCCCTTGCCTTTGGCCTTCTCGGGGCAATCTTTGGCAAGGTGTCCGGCCTTACCACAACCAAAGCAAACACCGGGTCCACGAGAGGTCGAGCGATCTTTCCCTTTGCTCTTGCCTTTCGACTTACCTTCACCTTTGTCACCTTTGCCGGCCTTTCCATCTGACTTTCCACCTTTTCCTTTACCTTTGTCTTTTCCTTTCGAACCTTTGCCTTCAAGCAAGCTGACCTCACCTGTTACATCACTCATCACTCTGGTTGAGATGTCATACTCAAGCAACACGTCCTTGAGGTTCTTGTAAACTTCCATGGCTGACTTGTGAAAGAGCGAGACGTGAACACGCACCTGCTCTGGCAATGACCTCAGCAAAATCATGGTTCGATCTGCTTCTGGGATTTCTAGTGAGGCACGCATCGACATGGCTGTCGTCGGTGGAATACTCGTTGGAATAGCCCAATTCGACAACAACAAATCATACTGGTGCAATTCAATGTCAACACTTCTCACAATGTCAACCAAACTACGGTCACGCGACTGAAACCTCAAAGTCTGTTCCCTAAAGGAAAGAACTTACCCGTGTGCTTCACCATATGTTGATGTAGTGTCCAATCACGCCTTCAATCTTTGTCGAACCTGAGAATGCTTGGCGAATGAAAGACAACAACTTCAAACCTCAACTTCTGTTCACTGTTCAACATTCGAATGCTGATTGCATTGTCGTGAGTGACGCACTCCCTAACTTCACGCGGCCACACTTCCCCAAACAATGCAATCCAGGAAGAAAAACTCTCAAGCCAACTCCTGTAACCTAAAACTTCTGCATGCCTAGACTTCCAACTCTTGTGGTCTGCAACTGGCATGGGCACACCAAAAGGTAACTTTCCGTCACCTAGTGCTCCTCCGGTGGTAGTTGCAGACACACTTGGTGGTCCTCCTGCTGGTGGAGGTGGTGGGATCCCTCTCCCAACACCAAAACCTGTTGAAGACGAAGTCGGTGCTGCTGACAACCGTTGCTCTAAATGGTTCATACGCTCCATCATCATCGACAACAAGCGGTCCTGTCGCTCTGCAGACCGGGAAAGCATATCTAACAACCTGTCTGTGGTTGATGGAGTACCAATGCCGAAATGTTGGGGCCTTTCAAAGGCAGCTCGGGCTTCTTCCTGTGCTTCGTCTGTTTCCTCTCTACGTGCTCTTGCTTCAGCTTGCTCTTCGAACATCTCTCGGGCCTCGTAAGGTGCAAAGGGCGTCGTCTCAAAGCTTGGTGGTGCTGTGAACAACGTACCAAAAGCTGTTGCTGAACTAGAGGACTGTTCCGAACTTTCCATGGCGCCAAAAAACTAAAGAGCCTAGGAGCGCTGTGGCTTCGCTACCATGTAAAGGTAGCAAACCGCAACAACAAGCGCGCTACCACACGACGCGTCACGTCCAAGATCTATTTAGATCTTTTGTTCTCTCTCCGGGCTTGAGCCACATTTCGTGGCATATTCTTCTTTCATTGATGAATTCTTGAATTCATCTGTACAAGTACTGGCTGTTTCTCTTTCACGAAAAACACTCAAAAACTCATAATTTCAAATCTACACATTATGAATTCACTTCTTGGCTGGATTCCGGTGGTTGTTTTTCCAACAAAGTCCAAACAACAGCGTGGGTCGTGAGAACCGCTAGAGGTAAGCACAGACCATCGGGGACACATCGACTTGGATCAATACTGCGCAGAGATCGATGTCACGGATTTGCAGGCATCCCTCAGGGATATTCAGCCAAACACAAAACGCGTGCACAAGCAAAGACAGGTACCCAAGTGACGTGTCAACGACATGTCCAAAGTGCAGCCTGTAAGGGTGCTCACGTGGAATCCAAAACCACAGATGTACACACAGCTCAAACGCAAAGCGCCAAGGTGAACGCCAAGCAGACAGAACAGGAGTGTGCAGAACTCCAAAAACTTGACTTGAATCAAGGTTCAAAAATTGACCGTGGTCAATTCAAACTGTTTCTGTTAGCATATTGGGCAAAGCAAACTGGCGTCACAATCCTGGTGCGAAGTGCGTGTCGTACAGTGCGTGTGTGGCATCTATCATATCTGTAGTTCACTATAATTCAACAAGCTCAAATCCACAAGTCAGCAAATTGAAATGCAACGTAACGCAACGCATTGCAAACAGTGCAACTCTGAAGCAAACAAACTGACATGTTCGTGCAATGCATCTGTGAAACACTAAGTTCACTTCTGATGCTTTCTGACCTTTGTCCGTACGTTCAATGCAGGTGGAAACTGTCAGGACTGAATGTATTCATTTCCAATCCTTGTGTACCAGGGACATTGGGTGAACACAATTTTACCAAAGGACAACGTTCCAAAGACAACAGTTCAAGGTGTTCAACATCTATTGTAACTCTCCGTGCGCATCTCACAGGAACATACAGGAACTGAGTTCGGTACACTCTGCACAGCAAGTGGACTTCACGTTCATACGTGTGTGCAAACAAAAGTTGACATCTGCACGACAAGTCATCTAGCTCCAATGACAGTGAACGAGAACTAGATAATTCTCAAGATCTTCACATGTAGTGAGATCTACCCAAAACACTTCATAGATTGCAACTGAACGCAAACGAACATCAAATGCAGAAACCAAATCTGAACATGCAAGGTGAAAACGCTTGAAAGGAAAATGGTTTTGGTCACACAGTTCTAGACACAGTCCTCGAGGTTTACACTCTTTCACAACCAACCCACCCACCCAAACCCAAACCCAAACCCAAACCCAAACCCAAACCCAAACCCAACCCAACCCAACCCAACCCAACCCAAACAACCAACCCAACCCAAACAAACCAGCACACCAACCCCCGAACCCAAACAAACAAAAACAAACAAACAAACAATCAAACAAACCTGAAAAATTCTTCCCCAAAAACATCCCAAAAACCCACGCCCTTCCTCTGCCCAAACCTCCTCATGGCCCGAGGCTCATGTACTCGCCAGCTCCGCTGGTGGCTGAAAAGCGCACCACCCCTTGGCAGCCATCGGTCTCCGAGCCTAATCGCACCTGTGCAGGCGACGCCGGTAAGGGAACCGGTGAACGGCGCCAGGGTCTCTTGGCACTTCCGAGAGAAAACCATGATCCCATGGCCGACCTCCTTCACCCTCCTCGTCTCCTCCCCAACCCCCTACATCCCCCTACCCCCTAAACGATGCATGACCCAGCACCCCCAAAACTTCGCCCTGCGCGGTCCCGCAGGGCACAACCCGCGGTCCCGGCGGCAGGCCTTCAAGGTGATCTCGTCCACCCAGAGCGACTGCAGCACCGCGCCGTGCCGGGCAACGAACTCGCCCAGGAAGGACTCCAACAGGCGGAACAAATCCATGGCCGCCTCCGTGCTGCACCGAAGCTCGGTTCAGTGCGCGGTCCGGTCACGGCCGAACCGGCTGGGCGCCTTTGGTATACCGATGAAACACGAAAATTCCGTCGGCAGTCAGCCGTGTCTGGGCGGGAAAACGGGCAGAAAAACCTTGGAACATCTTGGGTTCCCCATGTGGAAAGCATCCAGTCTTTCGTTGTGTCATGTCGTGTCCTTTGCCACATCCTGAGCCGTCAAAAAACCGAGCCGTAAAAAACCGCCGAGTGACGATCTCCGCCAGGGCGGTGAGGTTCAGGAACAAGCGTCCTGGCGGCCAAGCGTCCCGGGATGTTTGCTGCCAAACCCTGTGCTGGTACAAGTACATGTCTGTGAAATCATCATGGAAGTGAAGGGTATGGCCCTGGAAGGGTGATATTTGTCCTCTACAAACAGGTGGTGCACTCCACTTCCATGATTTCTCCAGGGAATGTATGTGTATGTTCATGACCTGGCGAAGCCTATCATCGACGGAGTCGGTCTCCTGCTACAAGTGCTATCTGCATCATATACGATATAATGATATAAACTTAAACCACAAATGACACATGAGTACTCAAAAAATCAAAGAACCACATGAGAGTCAAGGTATATCCAGAGTGCCACAGCCAGAACTCCGCGCAGAAGCCGCGTCTCGTGATCGACCTCGTTTCCACGACGGCCAAGCCGGCCCGGCCGCCTCGCCTTCGCTGCCCGACGCCTTTGGACTCAGCTTTGCACAGTCCATCTCATGCACTGCTGCCAACCTGAGAGCGTGAGGCGTGGGAACGAGCCCTGCAGAGCCAGAAATGAGAGAGCGCGGCGCGGGAGGGTGTCATGCTTGATTCAGTTTGGCTTCCTCACATCATGCATGTATCAGATGCTCAAATGCCCAAAGCATGGATACAAGTTGCAAGTAGATGTCAAATATCAAAGGTGTGGCGCAAAAACAACAGCTATATGCTATGCAAACGTGGCAGTTCGCATGCGGACACATATACACGTGCACCATGTTTTTCAAGCCGGCGAGGCAAAGTAAGTTCAACAAGTCTCAGCAGTCCTAAGCAGACCAAAGCCACAACACTCAGCAAACTACTTTGTGGCACAAGTTATTTTTTGTATTTGACTGAGAAGTCCTGCGGGCAGTATCGCTTAACTTGTTCAAACACATGGACCTCGTCTTGCAGACTGCCTCATTGTCAAGGAAAAAGCTTCTAAACACAAAAAACACACCATCCCAGGAGTCTTTGGGGGGAGGGGATTGCCAGACAGTCTCAGAAGCTTGCTTATATATACATATATATATATATCTTTGTTTGTGTGTTCTCGAGTGATTTTTTTCGTTTTGGGGACGGGGGGGGCGATCAAAGAGTCTCGGATTGTTGTTGTTTTTATACTCCAACTCTCCGTGGCATTTCTTTACACGCATTTGTTCTGCTGCATTCAAATACAGATTGTGCACACAGCAACCCCCTGGCTGAATTGTTGATTCTTATACATTGTCTGCTAGTTTCTTATTAAGGTCTTGGTCCTGTGAATCACATACTTGGACCGCTGGTCTGAGTTTTTGCCATCCGCCTTCCAAGCAGTCATCAGGCATGCACGAACATGCGGTGGTTAGTCACGAGCACAGGTCCCGGGAAACAGCAGCTCTGTTTGAGAGTCTCGGCGTGCAGGGAAACGAAAGAAATTGGGGTGTGTATATAGACGTATATATGATTTTGTACAATTGTATATAAGTCTCAAGCAGGTTTCTACCAATCCAAGGTTTCATACACCCGAGGCCAGTACAAACAATTGAACACCACATGTTGAATGCTTTATTTATTTATTTTTTTTATCAGGACTTCAATGCATCCGACATCATCTGATTCTGACCGTCTTTGCCCTTTCAATTGAACTCGCTGGGCTCGAGGATTGAGGATGAGCTGCGTCCACATCTGAGTCTGGGCTGTTCTCTTCATCAAGGCTTCCCTCTGCACAATCCCTGTACCACAGCTCCACCGGAGCCCAGGGAATTTCCTGCGAGCCCATGGAGCCGAACTGGCAGTTGTGGCCGGTCTCCTTCCCCTCTTTGACGGTCATGTAGAAACAACGGTCGAACTGGGTCGATGACAAGGCTGCAGCGCATGCAAGCGCTTTTCATGGCAAGACGGGGGTGTGCGGGGCTGGGCAGCTGTGCTTCTAATGTTGGAAGAAACAGTGGCATTCCAAACATAGTGGCCTCGCCTTCCGTTTCAGGGGTGAGGTGCGCCAATGAAGCTTTCTTGTGCTCTTCGATCTGGGCCCAGCTGTTCTGCTTATTTTGAGAGAACGGCATGCGCCAAGCAATCTAATCAGCAACTGGATAAATTACAATACCATCACAATCCTTTGGATCATTAGCCACAATATCAACAAGCGCAACAAGTGTAAACAAGTCATCATCAATCTGTCACCAACACTGCCATCTTGCCCTGTCTACTCCTCACCAGGTGCCTCACCACGCTGCTTCGCCTCCAAAAACACCAAAAACACCGCCCACACCGACACAACGCCCCTTGGGCTCCAAGGTGCAACAACTCCTCCAAGCGCGAAGCCCAGCTGTTGCTGACCGGGTGAAATCCGATTCGGCTGTGTGACACCGAGCCTGGAGCGCGTGCGGTGTCACCGCGGCTGAAACCAGTCCAAGCCATCCATGTGTTCAGTCGGCCCGGGAGATGAGACCTTGAGACCCTCTGAAGTTCCCTGCAAAGGACAAGTGAATACTGCTCGACCATGTGGATGTTCTGTATTTCACATGTATGTGCATGGTGAACTTCATGGGTATGGGGTCCAAGCCTCAACAGGTCGACATGCGCCCCTCTCTCTAGATCTCTGCCGCATAAGATCGCATAAGTTATCATATCAAACACTTGTCTTCTATCGTATTCTAGTCTTTAGCTGTGGATGTACCGGAATCGATTGCTCGCACTCGCTTCATCCCTTTTGTTCACTCCATCTGCCCAAACAATGCCTCCGGCCACACCGGCCCTGCGTGGCGGTACGTCCCACACCCGCAGCCGTACGTCTGCCGGGCTGCGCACGTGGACGACCTTGGCCTTGTCGTTGCTGGTGAGGAAGACTTCGGAGATGGGATCCACAGAAGTGACCTGTCGCAAGGACTCGCTCTTTGTCTGTCTCTCCTCTGATCCTCTGAGGGAGGAGAGAAGCAGGATCTGCATCCGGGATAGAAGAAACAGGACAAACATGGTGGTGATGCTCAGGAGCTTGGGTACTTCTTTCAGGATCTTTCGGATCTGGGGGAAATTCTGGGGAACGAAGTCAGTTCACCCTGTCAATCTGTGCAAATCAAAGAAACTGGCAGTTTCTGCCGGGGGGAACACAGTGAATACTCGGACTCTTTGTACAGCTTGCCGATGTCCTTTTTCAGAGTTTCACTCCCATCATCCACTCAAACAACCAACAAACAGGACACGAGAGGACACGAGGATCGAGACGACAACCCGCACTCATCAAATTGGAAGTCACCTGGTCTCAAACAAAGCTGGAACCACCTGGAAGTGGAACGCAAATGGAATATCCACCATCCGCCACGCAAATGGCTCAAATGTCTGGCCATGCCCAGGTCCGCCACTCATGCGCAACAAAGGGTGCAGCCTAGGTCAGCCCTCCCAATCATCCTCCTTGTCACAAGGGTCCCAAACGCATGGTCCCATGTCGAACCAGCTCTCCACCAGCACCGTTCCGTCGAAAAAAACACCGCTCCCCCAAGCTTGAGCTTCCTGGGCGTCCCCGACCGCAGGCATCCTTTCCAAGTGGTTGGCTGACTCACTCAAGCGTTCCACCTGTTTGGCACGGGTGGGGGTTCCGGCGAGGCATGAACCGCAGAGACCCGAGGTCACGGGGAAGACGCAAAGAACCCTCAACCCGAACGGAGGGAAAACGCGGCCAAAAGGCTGCTGTGGATGGAAAAAGAACACACATCCAGCTGCAGGCTGGCATAGTCTGAAAAACCTCCACATGCCAAACCCATGGGGACTCTACCATGAAGGCTTAGAAACTCATTCATTCGGCCGAGACCAAGAAGAGCGCAACACGTGTGGATGTTGGAATTTTGCTGTCACTCTTGCCTTTTGTGGGATCCTACTTTGACCTGACCGGCGTGACCAGAGGGAAAACGGAGCACGCTGTTGTTCTCCGGGTGGCTTCTCGTAGGGGTCTCCGGGTCGATCACTCGTATGATCCAACTGAACAACCACAACCTGTCTTCTTCCAAGAATGGCCTCAGGTCAGGAACTCCCATCTCTATATGTCTATCTAGCCTTCAAAACTTCCCACCTTCAGATGTCCAACCACAGGGCGCCGAAAAAGGGACGCATCGTTCCAGCTCACCCTCCGTCACCCAAAGGGGCCCATATCTGTTCCAATATCTGTCCATTCCACCTTCACCCCCCCGGAATCCTTGTGAAACAAGCTCCCGGAGGCGCAACGCCGTGTTGCCCGGTTGGCACATGCGGACCTCCATGAGACAGGGCAAGGCTGGACTCAAGTCGCGGAGGCTCGGCACCTGCTGCGCTGGCGCTCGACGGATGGGACGGACGGGCAGGTCGAGGGCGCACAAAGAAGATCAAGTGAATTGAAGGAGGTGAAGAGAAGAGAGTGAAAAAGAGTGAAAGTTGGGCAGGTCAAATCTTTCTGTCCAAAACTGGTTCCGTGGATTGTTTGAAACAGGTTCTTTGCTAGTTCAGGCACAGATCACTGGGCTGAAGCCAGAAGCACACGCTTTTAGTCAAAGACATTGGACACTAAAAAGACAAGTCTTGTGTTTCAATGCAGCGCTATGCGGTTGCGCTGAATATATTACAGTATATGTTCTGCTTCAATATTAGTACCCTCCAGCACCCGCGGCCAAGAAAGCTTATAGCTAAAGGATCTCTGCGACAATTGAGGTGGTGTGACAACCCTTTTGTACGTAGTGTCTTTGCAAAGTTCTCTAAAAGCAAACATGGTTGAAGAAGAAATTAACTGACTGGTGCTTAGTGAGGAATAAAGGAAGTTTTGCTCCCAATAGAGATTCCGTTGGATCCAGCCACCCTCATTCCCTACGACATGCACCAGTCAAAATTACTGCCCTGGGCCCTGATTCGCATTGAAGCCTCTGGGTAAACCTGCCCAGTACGCAAAGGTGCTATGGTGCCGAGCTGTTTCCTTCGGGCCTCAGGCCTCCAGTGATAGATGGATATCTGATATCAACGGTCAACGCTTTATAGGACTGACAGTGCAAGGGTAGGTCATAAGCAATTCCAAACCACAAGCACCGCCAAATACATCATACATCCATATGTACATAATTGTATGAGTATACGCTCTGCATACAGCTGTGGCTTCTCATGGTGTTTTGGGTGGTCTTCTCGGCTGTTTGGGGGGGCACGCAACAAAGTCTCCGTCGTCCACACGACCCGCTGCAACGCCGAAGGTACCGCGTCCGGACCTGGCCTCGGCCCAGCTGGCTCGCTTCGCAAAGAAGGCATAGCCTCAGTTCTTTTCAGGTCAAGCGCCTGTCAGGTCCTTTTCAGCACCAGTTCCAAGCTGGAGACCAGTTGCCGAACGGACCCAAAAAGTCAACCCAGGCCAGTTGACATCCTAAATGCAGGGGTGGGCGACTTGCAGAACAGGTCAGATTTACTTCTGTGGCCCTGGCACCATTCCTGGAGGAGGTTGGTTCTGGCCGTATCAAAGGCCCCCAGTCGCCTCTGATTTCTGGAAGAACTTGAGCGTTTTCGGTGAAAACCTTCGGGTGCCAAATTGATGCGGAATCCGAGGGTGCCTGACCCAGACCCATGAAAATCCAAACAAGAAACTTGTGCATGTGACGTTATTGCCTATCATGTAGCGCTTCCTTTCTCCTACTTCTGTGTTTCTCCTATTCCGAAAGAAGAAAACGTGAACGCAATGTACCTGATAGCCTGCTGTTTGATGCTGGTTCCCCATGAGGCTGTTCAAAAAATATTCTCCTATACCCTTTCCTTTCCTGTTCTTTCCTCAATGTCTCCTTTCCCTCTCCTTTCATGTCCCTCTGCTTTTCCTATCCTTGTGTTTCGGTTCCTTCCCTTCTCCTTTACCTTTCCTTCCCTTTCCTTTTGCCCTATTTTCCCATCCCATGCACCACATCCCGGCAAATTCCCAAAGCGGCGACCGTTCACTGAACAAACATTCGCTTACACCATGTGGTTGGTGTGAGTCCTCTTGAGACTTACCCGTGTCAAAACAGATCTTGGCTTGCTTCTTGAAGCTTAACCATCAATCCAGAAGGTGTAAACACCCCACTCTGAACTGGCTCCCTTTGGAGGATGGCCAAAGAAACGGACCTGCTCTTCCTCCCTTAAAGCCACCCTTTAGATCTCCCTAGATTCCACAATCGACCACAGATTCATCACAGTCCTCAGCTTAATCACAATTCAACATCTGAACATGTTCCCCTTTTTGTGGTCAACCCCCCTTAAGCCTTAGGCCTTGGCGTCTTCCCTTGTATACGTTGGTTGCTGAAGGACTTGCCATGCTCCACACTAGACTCTTCAGTTCAAACAATCCCAAGAAACCCACGAGATAGTTTCATACTATAAATTGGCTTCAATGAATAACTGACTTTATATAATGACTTTGTTTATTGGCTCCAATTAGAGTATTCACGGGCTTATAATCATATGTCCTTCAGTTCCAATTCCGATTGTATTTCGTCTGCGGCATGCTCCGCAAAGCAACGTGGTTCATCGCCGTTGCTGCCCAGCGTGGTGGCCTGTGGCAATGTCCAACCGGTCAGTGGTTGAGGCACAATTCTTTCAATCAATATCCGAGTCGAGGAGCAACCAAAAAAACACACATGCATGTGATTTTGCCTTCAGAATTGTTTTTCAGTATAAAACTATATATGTTACTGCTCACTTTTGACACACAACAAAAGTCAGCCACAACCAGCACTGCACCAGCAAAAGCAGTTCACCAGTTTAGCCCTCATCCAACCCCCGAGCGGTTTGGGCCAACGTTGGCTGGTTTTGCTTCACGGTGGTAGCCACCGACGGGTGGTCTCCATCCTGGCCATCGCATGAAAGTCTTTCATCCATCGTCCTACAGTTAATTATATACTTTTCAACTCCCCTCAGGTCTTGTGATGAGACACACCCCTTTTGTTCTGGGGGGGGTGGGGAACCAACCAACCAACCAACCAACCAATACTCCCCGTTTTGTTCTGGGGGGTTGGGGAGTGGTTCCGAGGCTTTTCGGTGTTTTTTCTTCCTCCTCCGAGCCGAGGCTTTCTGTCGCCGAAACGGCTCCACCCGTGACGCCCAGCTGCATGCTTGGGCAGCGTCAGCAGGACCTCCGTGACGCCCAGCGCGCTGAGCTTGGCCTCCACCTGCGAACAAGCGAACGGTGCCAGAGGTCCTGCTGGGGAAGAAACGGTGCCAAGAGATCTGAAGTGAAACATGTGGGTGTTAGAAGGCATATTAATGTATATATTTAATATATATATATATATGCTATACAGATGATAGGAGACCCCCCACAAAAGTTGTTGGAAAATCCAAGAACCAAACGAAATCCGAGAACCAACGGTCCCCCCCTATTACATGTCTTCACATCCATGTGAACTGCGAACACCTGCTCCCGGTCACAACCAATATGGCAGTCGTTTTTGTGTTCGTGTCTGGGTAAGTGAACAGGACAGGACACGTCCGATTTGGGTTCTATCATGTTCGTCCTCAGAATTCCGATTGGTACATCACTGGTGCTGGGGGACGGTGAAGCCTCTAACAACACCCAAAAGCGGCAATGCAAGCATGGATCTGATTGAAACGCATGCAGCTGCAACACGTGAGTGTAAGAAACCCAAATTAGGAGCCAAGTTAGCAGTGATTATCTACATCTGGTTGTGTTTGGTGGTGAATGCTGGTCATAGTACCTACATGGATCCTCTGGGAATGACAAATCACAAGGAGTCTTCAACGTTGGCGATCCATTTTCGAATGACACAAGACCATAAACACTGGCAGTTTCCACATGCAGTCATACCGACCGGATAGAACGATCCAAGCTCATGTCATAATTCGGAGTGCAGGAGGATCCTCTGCAAAAATACTCCGCAGAACTCCCAAGCGATCCTCGAGTTCCACAGGCATCCCACGCTGCCTGCCGCAAGAGCTGATGCACTTCTCCAATCATTTGGCTAAATCTTTCCTCGTTGCCCGCCACTGTCATAGCCTTGGATCGGAGAAGACGCCCTGGGTGGGATAGTCTCAACTGGCACATGCTGATGGTGACAATCCTGAGTATACAATTCCACCAATCTCCACTAGTCACTAATCCAACATGGCCGCCCGCCGTCATCATTACTTGCAGCGGTCTCAAAGACCTGGGAGTATTCGCATGGATTCTGGCTAGTGTGAGGCATTGGTTTGCAGCATTCCAATGAATGATGTACCTGGATGTACGTAGACGGCTAGTATGATTCTGTATGTATCTGTCTGTATCATCCGCAAAGAATCCGCCTCAGGTCGCTGGTCGCTTCGTCAACCCCCAAAGTCTTTGAATCTGGAACTGATTTGTCCAGAAACTGGAACCAACCCATGCTGGAAAATTCTGACCCATCAAATAGTCTGGAACAAATCAGATAGGGGCTGGATGTTCAAACACCCGCCACGCCACAGCAATACAATAGGAATCAACAAGAATCTATGACCCCTATTGAAATTATCCCCAATATAAATGTATACTCCACTGTAGTTTGGGTGTATCCTAGTACCAGCAACAGTGGATGATGATGGGGCCTGGTGGCAGGCCTTTCTCCAAAGGAGTGATGTTCTTCTTTACCACCTGCTACAGGTTATTTTCTGGGAGAGACCCCAATTATAGCAATCATCTGCCAGGACCCCCCAAAGGAATGTGTTTTGGAGGTTTTGTCTTACATAAAACCAACCAAAAAGCATCCATTTGGGGGGTGCTGGTGTATTTCCAGTGTATTTCCGAATATCCCACGGATCCGTTCTCTCCTTTGCCGCAGAGTTACCTCATCTCCCAGGAGGATCAAATGGAGCCGACCGGCTTTAGGCGCTTCACCTGGAGCGTCCGGTGTCGTCGATGTCAGTGGTCAAGTGAGACCCTCCAAAAGAGCCAAGTACGTCGCTCATGAATAACTGCTGATGCTTGATCCTTCTTAAAAATTCTACTTGGAGACAAACATCGGCATCTCACCCATGTCATGTTGAAAAACAGAGTAGAACGACACAAATCCCCAAGGATTCAAGTTAAGGTTTGCAGGTGAAATCCACCAACATAAATTCATGTGTCCTTTATCTCCTACATTGGTGGCTGTGGTGTAACAACAGGACTCCCAAACTCTCCCATGTCCTCCTTTGAATCAAAAGGAACATCACATTTACATGCTGTATCCCCCTTGAATGAGGAGCTGGCTGTGGAGGATCGACATGTTTATAGTGTCTCATTCTAGTTCCATTAAACATCACAGTCTTTTCCCCAGACAACTCACTGGTTCCAAGTGCGAGTGACCGACAGTGACTGGTGGGTGTTGGATGATTGGCCAACAGCCCGTGACTCAGGAGGCCAACACCTGCTCGGGGTCCCAGTCGAGTGTGTTGATACATGATACCCACAGGGTATCAAACAGCTACTGAAGATTCTTTGATTGCTCTATGTTGCTCTCATTCTCTGTCCACGGGCCGGCTCTTCGCCGTCGAAAGCGGTCGCTGCGCCTTGGACGTGCTGCCGCAAGAGCTCGCCCTGCAGGTAGCTCTTCAGGGCTGCCTGGATCTGCAAGAACACTTGCGCCAGGGCACACAAGCCAGGGCACACCGAGACGGTGTCGTTTCGTGTCTCGGTGTGTCCAAAAACGTGGGAGGCCTTCCAAACTACTAGAGGTTTTGAGTTGCTTTGTCTTATTTGTGGAGGGTCTTCGGTCTTTGGAGGGCCTCCGGACGAGTTTCAGGCAATCTGAGTCTCCAAGTGAAAATATAGACTAGACCCCAAATAAATAGATGGAGATAGATGGAGCAAATCCCCACTAAAGATGTATTGGACACCGTTTCCAGCTATTTGGGGATCCATCTACAGAAGGTGAGAAGTGCGCTACTTTGCTGTTTTCTATCTCAGCTGCATGGTCTCAGTGCATCTGGGCGGCGTAGTCTGGGAGGACCTTGGCTATGCCTTGCCAGACGGTCATCGCCTTCCCATTGGGGATGCCTTGGCCATGCAGGTTGACATGTTCAAAATCAGACTGCATGTCAGTGGAGAAGCCGAGCCCTATATAGCTCCCTCAGCTGGTTACCACTCACCAAAGGCAATTGAGTTTTCATGTAGCGATTTGCTTGGGGTAGTGACCTGTGAGCTGTCTAATTCTTCTATGGTCCCAGGTTCTGACACTGATTCAACGTCCAGAAGTCCCCAAATGCCAGACGTCGCTGCGCATGCCACATCGGATGGCTCCAAAAAAAAACCATACCCTGGGGTTCCTGGCCCATCTCGGTAACCAAACGGGTCAGGAATCCTGATATGAATCATGTATCTTGCAAACAGCAAAAAACGAACATCTGATCTCTACCAGGACCCCCAGGAGTTGGGTGGTAGACATGGACACCCCGAATCACAGCCTTTTGGGACTATGTACATATACACCCCGACAGGAGGGTCCTGGTATATCCCTCTATTATACATCTACCTGGAGTCTCAAGGTACCTTGGAAAATTGGTACAAGTACCTGCTTTTAAGGGATCATGTCCCATTTTCTAAGGTACTTTGGAGGGTCCAGGTATGTATAATATAAGAACCGCTGCTTATTAAAACCTTGTAACATATGAATTCCTAGGGCTCCTGGCCCGTGACATGATCGAGTCTTCCCCTTTTCTTCTGCTCCTGGACACCTGCCAGCAGTTCCATGTCCCAGGTGCCTGGGGGGGTGCCCTGAAAATCCACTCACCACTGGGGTCCTGAAACCAGGAACTGCTCGTACCAGCACCGACTTCACCGGTCACCAACTAAAACCTGTTAGGGCCCTTCCCAACCCTCCATTTCGGAGACCTGTTGGGTTCGGTGCTGGTATAAGGGTTTGCTTTTTCTTCGGTCAACCCCCGGTCAACGCGGCCACCGCCCGGTCAACGCGGCCGAAGTCGCCGGGGTGGCGGAACTTCCAGCGCGCTTCCAGGGTCTCCTGCAGTTCCACCCACTCTACCAGTACACAGCCACACCACCTGGATAACTGTATATATAAAGAAAATACGAAAGATTTATAAATAGTGTAATTTATCCTGAATCATGATATCCATTGATATCCCACTCCTGGTGCATGCTGTTCTTGTTATCATCCCGTCCATCCCACCGCCTGCCAGCGTCCGCATTCATCCCATCCCAAGCCAAACATCCCCCCTCACCTCCCCACCACCACCTCCCCGCCCAGGTCTCTGGTCTCCGGTCTCAGCGTCGGTCTCCGGTCCTCCTTCCGCTCCAGGCGAATGCTGGACTCCTTGGAGACGCCGAAGGCGCGATAACTCCGCCGGAGCAAGACCTGCGCCGGACGATCGCTGGAGACGCACCGCGTGGAACGCGGAAGTTCCACGAACGGAGGCGACAGCTGTCGGTGTCGGTGTCCGAAAGCAGGTCGGGGGTCTGAAGGAACAAGTACCCAGCTGGGTAGGTTTGCCAGGTACTATTGTCTTTTAATTAAGCAACTTCTGTCAGGGTTAAAAACAATATGGCTTCCCGGATCTTCCCACATATTCCGCTTCCTTACTTTCAAGCTAAAGGTTGTTCAGTTTACTCCATTTCAGTCTTCCCCATCTTTGACAGCAAGTATCTACCTGCTCCGAACAGGCCAACAGTGCCTCTGAATTCATCCCAGGCCACGGCCGTGGGTTTGTGTTCGGGCCACCGGGCCCACTCCATGTAGTTTGAAAGGCCTCCAGGCAACGCGCCCAGGCCTCGACCGGTGAGAACCCCGGCGTCTCGCGCCTCCAAGGCCTTGAGTTGAAGATCTTTCTGCGAGAGCCTCGGTGACGTGGCGAAACGCGTCCAGTGGAGCGTCCAGTGGCCCTTTGTGACGGAGTACGGAGCGAAACAAACGAAGACAGAAAGGAGTGAAACAAATTGAACCATGTTGAAACATCTACCAGGGGAGAACTATAGATATATATATATAATAAGATGTCCATGCATGTAATCTAAAATATCTAATATAATAAGCTTCCTAGTCACGTCCCACAGGTGGCTTTGGAATCGTGACAAATAAATAGGTGGAGGAGGAGCAATCTTCAGAACCAGAAAAGAAGGTGTAGCTCTTCTCCGTAGTACTCACTTATTTGACAGGTTCTTAGTAATTAGGGAGTGGAAGAAAGACCATCAAAAAACACCCACACACACATCAAAAATCTCCATGTACAAATTGTGTAAACACGTGTGTATATCTAAATTTATATCAATTACAGGAGGTTCAGGTCCCCAAACAAAAGCTCGTTATAATTGCTCTTTGAAAAGACCTGGCACTGGGCTTATATACAATATACAACCTACTTGCAAACCCGGAAAACTGGCTGTTTTTTGGATACGTCACACTGAACATCCTTGTCTGACCCCCAAGCCGTTTCCCAGGGAAAGAAAGATTCACCAAACGTTCCACCTGTTTCACTTTAGTGAACGAGACAAAGAACATCCGGCGATCCAGAAAAATCTCCCTGGGGTCAGGTTGTTCCATCTCGCTCCGCCTTCTCATTCCAATCAGGTGGGGACTGCTAGTAGATCCGCCCCTTCCGGGGATCCCTCCGATCGCCCCACTCCGATCTCTCCACGTCACGCATGCATCAACAGGTTGCCGCCCGCCGCGTGGGGCGTGGACGTCACCAACTTGCCGGGGTCGGTGGCCAGGCCCAGCTCGAGCGCCTGGAACGAGAACAACGCGCCCAATAAATCCGAAAAGGATTGCTACAATGTACAAACTATATCAAGGAGTAGATATGGAACACTGGAGTTGGATCCTGACTTGAGTTGAGTGTCTAAGTCCTAAGATGTCCTAAGTACTCGATCGGTAACTCAGAAAGGATATCTGATGCACGCTGATGCAAACAGCATGTGACTCTATAATCACAGGCTCTCTTTGTCAACGATGGATCATGAATCATGATGTATCAACCACTCCAGTAGCAAATTTATGTTCAAACTTTGTCTAGAGTCTATATTGGAGCGGTTTCAAAGGAAATTCCAAGACTGACTTCCTCAGTTTCCCTCCAAAATAAAGGCGGCTAACCAAACTTTCCACCCGTTTCTTGATGAGGGGGGCTGCCCCAATCCCCCCAAAAAGTTGCAAGGTTGTCCACGTTTCCTGTGTTGGTCATGGAGTCTTCATCCTCTTTCACCTCTTCAAATTCAGTGATCCCCAATCCCAAGTGGGATTGAGTGAATCTGAAAGCAATACATGACACGAGACATTGTAAAACCTCACAATATAGGCATTTCAGCACCTTGAAAAAAATCACCTGGCTGGACGCCCCAGCCCACCACTATCCAGGATCTCGAGACAGGACACCCCTTTTTCAGATTCAGGATGGTTTTTCGTATTTCCTGATACCTGGAGCCCTGAACACTTTCTTTTTCAGGTGCCAGGTGCGTCCCAAAATATCATCCGCTGTAAAGTTTTTGCGTGCTCAGGTCCTGGAGGGACACTTGTCAAGAAAAGTCCAACACTATGAGAAGAACATGGAAGTATTTAACAAAGACAAGAGGCTTGCATGGCCATGCTAGATGTTTGATCGTGTTTCCCAATGCCCCATGTCAATGCTGCAAAAAAAAACGGCCATCAGAGGTAGGGAGCGCAAGTAATCAAAACCGGATGGCTGCACAGCCACAACAACCCTAATCAATCACCAAAACTGCCTTCGCCTGGATGGACATTTGGAGGGCCCTGGGTTCTTCTTGTATACACTCAAAGAAAAGTTGACCCCAGCAAGCCCTTCCCCGTTGTACAAACTTACAAACTGAACCAAGCCTGGAATCATGGACTTGCTGGGCCAAGGTTTCTTTGGGGAATTAACTCGGTGAGAACTTGCTTTGGTGGCAAGTGTCTGCTTGGCCTCCAAGAACTTAAGAGGTTCAGGAGCGGTATTGAAGGATTTGGCACTCTTTTGTTGTGTTTCTGTAGAAACCTACTCATCCACTGCGCACAAAAACCAAACGCCAAATCCTGAAAAAACGGCGCCTTCACTTAAAAACCAAACGCCAAACCGACGCCATCACTCAAAAAACAGACTCCGCGCCAAAACCGCACCCAAAAAAACGATGCCAAAAAGGTGTCTTTGGGTTTGAATGACATTGGGCCTCAGCCTCATGTCTTGTCAGATATTGACGGTGTGGGACGTAAGTTGTCATCACTTTTGGTCGGGAGCGTTGATGTATCCTTTAATGTATCCTCTTGTCTAGTCATGTTTGGTAATTAGCATTTGGTAGTGGATGATTTTCTGTTTCAACTTCAAAGAAGCTTGCCAAGGAAATGCACACTGTAGTCGCTAATTAGGCCATGACAGAACTTCAAAGCCGTATGGGGAGTTGTGCGTCCCTTGATGAAGGTTTGCTATCAAGAGGAACAATATTGAGATGCCCGCGCATGCTCACAACCTTTGAAGCCCGTGTTGAAGGTCCCCTGTCGGAAAAGAACACTTTGCACTTCCAGTTAAGACTAATCCTTTGGTGCTTTAGATGCAGGGTTTGAGGCTGTTTCTACCTTGAAAGAAGCTGGGAGGTCTCTTCTTCCCTTTGAAATGGTTTTTGGCGAGATGTGCCCACGTAGGCCCTGAACTGGTTTTTGAGTGAAACCCAAAAACTTACTCACGTGAAAAAGAAGCGTCTCTCGAGGGTACAGGTAACCTACAGGATTCCTCCATCGATGTCAACCCCTTCGTTTTTGTTAATTACTTAAAAAACAAAAAATTGGTGGAAGGTTAAGGTGCCAGGTACCATGACTCAAACATCTGGAGAGGTCAATGAATGGCGGGACCGTGCCGCTCGGGGCGTCTCGCCTTGAATCGCTGTGTCCAGGGCTCCCCGGTGACCTTCTGGCAGAGGCGCCTGCGCCAGGTGGCGCGCTTCCGCCGCAAGGAGGGCGGTGGCCTTCCTCCAAGAACGCCGTGGGCTAATATACCCAAAGACTCACACGAAAGGACCGGGTTTTCCAAGGAAAAAACAACACGAACAACCTCGAAAACCAAACACGGGGGGGTACCTTCTGAGGTTCCGAGGAATCGGTTCTTCAGCCGATGTGGTTCGAACAAAAAAAACCGGTCCGTTCACATCAAGCAATCCCCAGCGGCAGGGTGACGTCGACTTCCTGGGTCGGTCAGGAGACACATCTGGCCATTCCCATCCGGGCTCCAAACGGCCCATCTCCTCAGGTGACCGGTGGTCTTCGACCCTGGCACCCACCCCAACCACCTTCGAAGGCCAGGGACACCCTTCTTTTTCGACCCCTATACCTTCCATTTTGACCCTGTTGCCTTGGAAACCTTCCTTTCGGACCCCGTCTGTGGTGAAAACCATCCTTTGTGACCCCGCAAATAAATAGGCATAAATAGGCTCCCCGTAGGCCAGGAGCCCTAGGGATTCATGTTCTTTGCCGAAGGGTGGGTGGGATGATACATGACGATGCGAAGTCAGACTTGTAGCATCTTGTGGCCATGCCAAGTCAGACTGTGGTGAAGCGGAACGCTGAAAGCTAACGGGAGGAAGGATTCACAGAGTTTGATGCATCACCAAGTTCTCACAACTGGAATCTGACATCTGCATTCCTCTTCATGAGTCCCCACATCCAAGCACTACATGTATACAGCAACTCTCATGGAGGAGAATCAAATCCCCAACATATCTGGAACTTGGGTCTATACTATCACCTGCAACAGTGGATGATGATGGTTAGTAAAGGCCTTGTTCAAGCATGATGATCATTGTTTACTGACTGTTACAGGCTACAGGTAATAGGACAGACCCCATCTGGAACTTTCATGAACTGGTTGATGCTTTCAACCCACTTGAAAAGCATTAGTCAGAGGCTCCAATCATCCCCGAGTAAGGGTCGACCATAAACATATCCGGAGATCATCACCTACTTTCTGCTTTCGTTTCTCTCACCCCAATCATGGCACATCCTGGGGCCCATTTCTTCGGTTCGTCTCGCTCATGTCGCATCCGGCCCCTCATGTCGCATCCGTCGGCCTGGCAGCTAGTAGCACCGGCGCGTAGATGGAGGTGTTTGGGAGTTCAGAGAGCTCGGTCAAGAAGTCTGAGAGCTTGTTCCTTCGATGGGCGCGGTGGGATCGGTGTTTCGTCGATTGAGGAAAGAAGCATCTAAGCATCTGAGTACCATTGACATAGCCTGCCCAACGGGCCCAACCCTACCCAGTTGCAGGGAAAGACACATTGCTAACTGAGTACCCATTGCTAACGACGTTCATTATTTGGTGGAGGGGTCAGTCTATCTCTAGAGCCCATTGGATCCATTGCCCATGAGTATCTCCAAAAACATGTATCCCAAAATCAGGTGTTGAACCTGCTGTTCCCGAACCAGCCAGCGTGGCCGGGCTTCCGTCCGACCCAAAGCGATCTGGGTCCCTGATCACTTTCCTCACCCAGCCGATCTCTATCCAGTGTCCAGCCCTCACGACAAACCTCTGGTGTGCGCACCGGCCGAGTGTCCAATTGCCTTCTTCCCTCACTGATTGCCACAGCTTTTGCGACTTGGCCCGTGCCAACCAACGCCCTTCCTCCGTGGCATCCTGGACGTCTTAGCGATCCAAGAGACGGTCCGTGTGGCTGGAAGGGGGTGAAGGGAGCCTTTGCTCAGAGTAAACAGTACTACACATGGACCGCCCAAAAAGCGCCCAAAAACATTAGCTTTTAAGGAAATCGTAGGTCGGATCCGGTTCCAAGTGTGTTTTCGGATGGGAGGACACCGCTCTGATGACATACACTCCCGGCACCAATCCCAAGTCTTGGGAAGACTGGGCCTTTGGGCCATCGGTTCAAAATGGAACAGTCTATACTTTGTCTGATCCGGTGAACGCCGATGTGAGCGGGTGGCAGAAGACTCAAGTGATGGAAAAAACCTTAAATGAGGGGAATCCACTTTTTGGGCAAAGAGGGAGCCAGATGCAACGGAATAAAAGGACCTGAAGCATCCTAAATCCAGAAGAATGCTGTGTACACAACAGTGGTCTTTGGGTCCTTACTGGTCTAATAAATACTGGTCGATCACATTCTCACATTATGGCATTGTGGTGAAGTCGACCTACCAAGCAGCTGCTAGACTCTGAAGAAAATGTCAGCTGATTGACACTATGGTTGAATCAATTCATATCAATTCTGTCATGCTCCTCTGCCAACAAAGTCAACCAGCCAATGTTTCAATATTATCAAAGAACAACAAGGGGCAAAACAACCAAGTAGCTGCATCATAACCTGTTCATCAGTTTACTGCACAGTTTGTAATTCATGGTTCATGATGATAGACCCCATCTTCAACACACATCATCCAAACACCCCTTCAGCACTCCTGGTTCAGCACATGCATGCTCACAACTGGGTTACCCTTCGTGGACATCCACCATCACTGCGCATCCACCCATTTCACCTGATCACCTGATGTGCTTTTCAGGGAGAGCAGTCTCCTGGCTGTGCGAGTTGACTGTCAATGAAGAAACACCCCCGTTTCTCAAGATGTGAACGACTTCCCAACGCACCAAGGGGGCGTTCTTCATGAACAGTCCACCTCATCTGCTCCAGAAAGTAACTGCCACCTCTCCTCCTTCCTGAGATCTTCCGACTTCTCACCACTCCCTTCACCACCACTCTTGGATCCCGCCTCTGGCGCCTTGGCGTGAGGCAAGGCCTGCGAAGCCTCCAAGCCCTGCAAAAGCTCTCCAATGAGTTCGGAGCGCCATGCCGCCACACCGTGGGCGCGCAAGGAGCTGATGGCCTCCTGAAGGTGCTGGAGCCCAGCTGGAGAAAGCAGGTGTTCAAGTCACAAGGAGAACAAGCGTCTGACACGTTGAGCATGTGGTGTTAACTGGTCAAACAAATAAATCCAACGGGATCTTTGATCCTACAAACGAGCTCTTCATCGCATCCAACCTGCCGGTGGTTCATCCTTGACAAGGACGCATGGGTCGACCCCAAAAAAGAGCTTAAAAGAACAAACACTCTGACAGATCGGGTACCATAGATCAGTTTGTCATCCAAGAGATTCGAGTCTATAGTGACTTTTTAGGTCAGTCTTTACGTACTTTGTATCTGTTTGAAAGAAAATCATTCTAATTTATATATCAAATGAGGGTTCCATTTCAACTATAAACAATAACTACCTGTGAATCCTCGACTCTACTTCTGTATCTAGACGATATGACATAGACTTTGCAAAAAGGCTGGGAGGCTGGATGTGGCTGGTGGAGTAATTCTTCCTACATTAACTTGATGTCAACCGCCGTAGGAGAAGGACACTGAGAAGGACCCCACTAAGAACACCTACTATGTCAATGTTCCATTCATTTGGGGTCCAAAAACATGATGGCTCTGATTTCTGGCTTTCAGCACGGTCCCATCCATTACGGTCCCATAATATGATAAGAGGGGCAACCTTTTTTTTCACCCTTCAACCCTTTTTTTTTTCACCCCACCCTTTTTTTTCCACCCTCCACCTTTCTTTTTCACCCTCTGAACCATTTTTTTTCACCCTCGAACCTTTTTTTTCACCCTCTACGGGTCAACTACGGGCTTTGCGGCTGCACATACGCGGCGTGAAACTAACCGGAGGTGACATCGTTCTCTGCGCAGGTTCCAGGGGTTACCTGCTTCGCCGGCGGAGGGTTGAAAAGAAAGGGTCGAGGGTGAAAAAGAAAGGGTAAAGGGTGAAAAAAACAAGGTGAAGGGTGAAAGAAACATGCTACAGGGTGAAAATGGCAGGGTGCAGGGTGAAAAAAACAGGTTTTCGAAGGGTGAAAAAAAAGGTTCCACAGGGTGGGCAAAAAAACATTTTTGAGGGTGAAAAAAGAAGGTTTCGAGGGTGGAAAAAAAAGGGCGGGTGAAAAAAAACTTTGTTGAAGGGTGAAAAACACAGGGAGCCTCGCGTCCCGGCGGCGTCCGGGTCAGTTTCCGCCGGTTCGCGTCGTTCCGGATAGTCTCTGCGCAGTTTCCGGAGGGTTCCGAAGGGTTCGTCCCAAGAAGTTTTGGAGGTGACCACTACGGGTTTTGCGGCTGCACATACGCGGCGTGAAACTAACCGGAGGTGACATCGTTCTCTGCGCAGGTTCCAGGGGTTACCTGCTTCGCCGGCGGAGGGTTGAAAAGAAAGGGTCGAGGGTGAAAAAGAAAGGGTAAAGGGTGAAAAAAACAAGGTGAAGGGTGAAAGAAACATGCTACAGGGTGAAAATGGCAGGGTGCAGGGTGAAAAAACAGGTTCCACAGGGTGGGTAAAAAATGATTTTTGAGGGTGAAAAAAGAAGGTTTCGAGGGTGGAAAAAAAAGGGAGGGTGAAAAAAACATTGTTGAAGGGTGAAAAAAAAAGGGAGCCCATGTACAAACAGCCCTGCACAATCATTGGCGGACTCGGCGGTCCGTCCTCCTCGGACTCCTGCGCCTCTAAAACCTGGGCCACGGTCAAATCCGCACTGCAGCCCGCAGCATACGCTTCTGCAAAGGGCCGCTCCACGCTCAGGTAGCGTTCCTGCAGATGTGGGCAGGGTGTGCTTACTTGTGGTCGGACTCAGTAGTGGGGTGCTATTGGAACTCATGTCAAGACATGAATTTGGAAGGCATGAACGACGTGCTTATCTTTTTTGACATACGGTTCTACATGATTCTACTAGTTTTAGTCTACAACCTGTTTTATCATCTAGTTCTCCCAGTGTCCCTAAGCTCCAAAGATATCACCTCAACTGAAGGGACATGAAACCGGAGCTCGAATCTTCCCAAATCACAAGGGGGGACTTCACCCGCCCCCCTCCCACACTTGAGCATCACAAAAACCAGTTGGCTCCCGGTCCATCGCCCCGGCAGTCCAGCGCGGTGAGGGCGTGCTCCAACTTGGTGCCGATCTCCTCCTAGAGACGGGGCCATGCGTGGTCCTTCCGACCAACGCTCCAGCCTCTACATCCACCAGTTGGCTCTGTTCACGGGGTTTTAGAAAGAACGCAAGGACACTTATCCCCACTTCTCAGGCAGCGACCGACAGCCACAACATAGCACCACACATCCATTGTGGACAGCAACAACATCCACCTCTTGTAATTGCAATTTGACGATCATGATCAATTCTGCCTCCAAGACTTGCCCCCCCAGGCTCTTCCCCCCAAAACACCTCTCCATTGCGAGCGCTTTTTTTTGCACCACTTAAAGGTCTCTCCTCCGCGCTCAACAACTCCTCTGCCAACTCCTTGGCACTGCCCTGCGCCGCATACCCCTCCAGCGCCAGCCGCACGCGTCGCGCTGCGTCCGCGGAGGCGTCAAAGCTGCCGGGGTGGCCCGACACGGTGCGGGCCAGGGCAAAGGGGCCGGTGAAAGGCTCCAGCTGCGGAGCGCTGGAGGGGTCATCCAAGTGGAGCCTGCAACTGTGTGACTGGGAGTCGGTGGACAGAAGTAGAGTTGCTGAAAGGGCTTGGGTCACACATGTTGATGGGTGCGTTTTCTTCCAGTTGTTGGCAATGAATCATAGAGCCAGTCTTCAGAAAAATCAACAAAAAGAACGACTTGACTAGTAGAAACCAAACTTGACACCGACCGGCATGTAAAGGGAGCAAACTATTGCTCTTTATTATACCATGTGCAATAGGAAGCCCTGTAGTAGAGTCAGCCAAGGACATTGCTTTACTCAAACTCCGATTTCAATTTGAGGAACAGCAACACATATACACCTGTTTGGCTTCGTACTCAGGCAGGGAAAGTTACAAGGTTGTGGTTCTCCCCCACCAAGGAAACTCAGATTGTGCTGGAACTCTCGGTAATCAGTTGAGACAAAAGTTCATGGTTTCATGTTGTTATTTGTTCAGGAACCTTCATACTGCTGGATCAGCTGAACACTCAGCAGCCGTGGGGACCATGCTGGCACTGGGGGGGGCCACAAGCTGTACAGGGCCCAATTGACCCAGACGCTGATTTCAACCAGTTTCCGTCCATCTCACAAGATGAACGATCCGCAGGCCAAGCATTGGAATGAGATGGAGAAGTCAATCGCAACTTGTCAGTGACAACAATCTTGGCCTTGTCATCGTTGTCAATTCCGCCAACCGAAATGCTCATTCTACCCTACCAGCTCCACAGCTCAAACAATCGTGCCCTTTTCCCACCACTCCCCATAGCTCCCCCCCAGGGTTTCTCCCGCGTATTGGCAGCGTTTCAGCAGCTTTTC